CTCGAGTGGCTCGATTTCTTGTTTCGTGACCATCGGTGCCAAACGCTATTTCTGCTGGGATCCTGGGAGACGCTTCAGGAGTTTCCGTCTGAATGGAGCAAAAGGCCCGAGATGCACTGGGAGATACTTGGCTCTGTTCGTTTGCGGCCGGAACAGGATCATGCTAGTCATACACTGCCTTCAAGAAATTAGTATATTTAAGTTTATAAATACATATAATTACTATGATAAAGTACCGGAAGAGGCCCACAACGCTGCTCAAAGCACAACATCATAGAACACCAAAGCAGTTAACCTGCAACACACGACAGCATATGTTCTGACTGAGGAAGTCTCCGTTGCATTTCTTCCCAGCTGAGGCTAGCGGCTAGCGAGGGTACGTTTGGTTGAACTCCATTTGTGCTTTGGATGCTTTCTGGCAGTGGCGACACTGGCAGTAGCACCGCTGTAGAAAGTCCTGGTGTGCATTGGCCGGGCAGACGTACAACACTTGCAAATTGTCGGCAGATAGAGAAGCAGATTGCCTCGTTGGAGCAACGTGTTGCCCAGATGACTGAGGCGAAGCTTTTGCAAGCACTTTCTTTGGTCAGATACCCTTTCTCAAAGTTTGTTCAGGGGGACAGTACGCGAATGCGGGTTCTCTTGGAACAGACCACGTGCTTGGAAGAAGGCCTTGTGTATTACTGTGAGCTCAATCGGTGAAGTGGGGGTGGACTCCATGACTCTCAAGAAAAAAACAAGTAAGTAGCCTACCTTTGATGGTCTGAACGTGTCCGTGTGCCAGGTTTGCAAGCAATAAGAGTTGCCCGAGAGATACACGATGAGCGGAGGCGGAGGATTGATTTCGGCTCTGACATCAACCGCCATGTGCTGTCAGGAGAAAGGAACTGCAAATGGTCCAGGGCAGCTTTGACACGGACGGAATCCCTGTTGATTGTGTGTCACGTCACGTCTGACTTGCCTTCGGTTTTCATCAAAGACATGATTGAAAATAGCAGGACCTAAAGAAGGCGGTGTCCGAAAGGATTCAACTCGAATCATCGTTACAGGACTGCTGGGCTGCATGCTCTAACCAAAATCTTTTTTGCTTGAACTTCCTTGATGCAAACCGAAGCTAGGAATTCAAGGTATTTGTGCACTTCTTGAATTTACTTATATAAGTGAGTTCGGCTCGCGCAAAGGCTCTGCAAGAAGGTGCTTAATTAATTATCTGGCTTTCTGCACAACCAATAGGGGCTACTAGCGATACTATTTTCATTGAAAAATGGAATGCGAGGCTTGTCCGCGACTCATATCATAATCAAGAAAGACTCTCTCCCTCAGTTTCAGGAACGAAACACATCAGCTATTTAAATTTCCTTCTCTCATATCTGGGAATCCTTGCCATCAACATCCATCGACCCCTTCTTAAAAACTCCAGCAACCGATGATGTGAAGGAGTCGAAAGGAGCATCTTCTCTTGCTACTTAGCTACCCTTCCAACTTTCCTCCCTCCCCAGCAAAAAGAATGACCACACAAATCGTGAAAGAGCTGTCTAAAACGAGGGCGGATAGTTCGCATCATGTGATGAAATGTTCCGATGCTAGCGGTCCTAACCTCAAAGCGCTGCTGCTGCTGCTGGTGGTGCTGGTGCCTGGTCGTGCTGGGTCTTTGTTTTGGTTGCTCTAAACGGCTTGCACTCCACTTTCTGCACTGGATTCTCCTCAACTTTACTCGCGGGCTTTCTTTCTCTTCAAACATTTCAACATGATACATCCAGCAATGTTTCTTTGCAGGAGAAAGGAAAGGCCATGCTTGAGGATTGCAGGGCTGACCTGGTGAAGGAAAGTGCTCACAAAGGGTCGGCGCAGCCGCCGCCAGTTCAACTTCTTTGCTTGAGAGAAAGGCAGAATCAGAAACAATTCTTGCTCAATTTCAAGCTTCGTAAGGAAAACATCGTACGCGGCAGGTGCAGGACGAACATGTGCGTGAAATCGGGGAGGAGGCTCTCCAGCTTTCCATTTGGTGTGACTGCCAACCATCACTTGAACTTTCCCAAGACTTGAAGTTGCTCATGATAGTTTTGTAATGCTGCCTCCCAGGCATTATTTTTCCCTCTGAGAAGTTTCTAGATGTTATTTTGCTCCAGAAGTTTGTCGTGTTAGTGGTCATGCCTACAAAACTGGTGTGACAGAAGACAAGGTGCAGAGGCTTCATGCTCTCTTGGAAAAACAGCACCTGGCCACACACTAAGATGTTTATGTTAGGGTTTCCAGTCAGAAAAATCTCATTGGATTCCATCATGTTGATGGCCACTGTTGACCAAGTCCAGAGTTGAACAAGGAGAACAGATTCTGCTCAAGCTGGAGGCAAGGTTCATCTTAGGAGCTCTGCACTGCACCCCAACAAATCAACAAATCAAATCAATTCTACACATTTTCTGAGTGCTAGTTCTGCCCATGTTGCAGTCGAACTTCCAGCAGCTTCAACATGATCTGGAGACTGAGCAGAAACTTGTCCAAGTTAAGCTTTCCTTTTTTTTTGAAGAACCAAAACTAGTAGCTTCTTGCTACTAGTAGTAATGCCCTTGTTGCTAGTAGCTTCTTGCTAGTAGCAAGGCGTCTTACTAGTAACAAGCTACTAGTAGTAAGGCACCTTGCTACTCGTGCGGAAAACATTGACGTAAATCGATCCTGCAACGGATCCTTCAAGGAGGCCCCCACTGCCTAGCCGAGCCCGGGGGAGCCTTGAAGAATCCAAGCCCTGCGTCGTGGGCGTAGCTAGCCTCACCTGCCCTTCATGCCCAGTCCCTCATGAATTCATGACCTAAACATCAATTTCCTCCGGACAATTGAGGTTATCAAAATTCATCACGCATTGACTACTGTGCCTTCAAGATCCAACTAGTATGAGCACCAAGGAAACTGCGTTTTGAAGCAGAGGGCATGATGCTGCGAATGGTGGAGGCCCTGCCTTTGCACTGTGTCAGAGACATGCATGGAGTGAAAGCGGAATCGAGGATGTTTGTGGCCGCTTGCATGGGGAGATCCAGCAGGCCTTTGATGAAATTTGTCGCCATGCAAAGTTGCGTGGATGCCTTTAAAGGAGCGACAGAAGAGGGAAGCCGTTCAGAGCAAGTTGCTGGGGTTGCCAAGCGCCAAGCAAGTGCATGCAACTGAACTTTCTTTCTGCTCAGATTTATATCTCTCTTGCAAGCGTTCTGGCGGCTTTGACCCAGGTTGGAAGACACTTGCACTCAAATTGAGGCGTCGTTGTTGAAGAGCCGAAAACGACTGGTTGAACCATGTTGAACCGTGTTGAACCTAGCTCAACCACGCCAGAAAAGCTTCTCTTACCTCACTGAGTCCAAAGGCAAGGCCCGTGGTAAAGCTTCTTGTTCCGGCACATTCTGACAGTGGTGCCACGGCGGCTTCTGCCAGGTTTCTGACTCTGTGGTTTCATCTGACCCTGCCTGTTGCATACTATTTGGGGCTGCGCAAGTGGGCAAATAGAACAGCAAGCGAAGATCTGTGAGAATCACCCAGAGCAATCCTTTGAAGATACAGCATTGTGTCCCCTTGACTGGCTATCGCAGCGCTTTAGGTTCTGCATGACGCAAATAAAGATAGTGGCCAAAAACACATGCAATGCTAGCCTCCATGGGTAATTTGTGCCATTTGAACATTACTTTTTGGACAGTTGATTGTTAAGACATGCGAATGGGACAATATCACACTGAGAGTCCGGCACCATCTGATTGAAGAAGTAACTCGAGTGCACATCGATAACTCAGAGTGCCTTCTAAGAGCGCCTTCTCAGCTGCGACTTCAGAGCTTAGCTGGCGAGACCAAAGTAGATGACTTCTAATGCACGTAGAAATCTCTGAGGCGGGTCAAACAGATAAACGCAGTTCCAGAATGTTCCAGAACAAATGTTCCGCTTTCCTCTTGAGTTTGGAACAGGAGGATTTTGCCTTTGCCAGGCACAGCATGCCTGGAGCCTCCTGATATCAAGGGGTTTATTGAGCTATTTACCGTTCTTCGAGGCTTCAGAGCTGTGTTTTGACGCAAAGAATAAGAGGCGTTGAACTTGAATAAGAGGCGTATAGCTTTGAGTTGAGATGTCATACGAGTTTCAACGCCCTTTTGCAAGTGGTGTTTTCTCTCAAGTGCGTGCACGAGGGTGGTTTGAGGGAATAAGGCAGCTTGAAGAGTTCGAAGTGGATGAGAGAGCTCTAATTGAAAATTGTTCAACTCATAGTTTTTGGCCGCTGAAGTCTGAGTTCCGTTTGTTTCAGGCCAAACAATGTGTCACGGTCTCCACATGGCTGCGGCAGCTGTCAGACCGCAAAGATGGTCAATGGGCTGAGCAAATCTCTCTTTCTGAATGTTGGCTGGGTCGAGTGGGAAACTGGGCCATATTTGAGGTACTGGGAGCAAAGGACTTCCTGGTGGGATTTCGCATCTTGGTACTCACCAGGAAGACTCTGTGGGCACATCAAATGATTAAACAGCGATGACACACGGGCTTCCCTTTGTTTGGGCCGAACGGCAGCTGAGGCAGCCCATCATGGAGGCTCTGTGGCAAGGAGATGTCGAAAGCCGTGCCAGCGCTTGGAAGGCAGCGGCGCAGATTGTGCTGAGCTAAGAGCAGAGCAGAGTGGAATCGAATCCCAGATGACCCTAGGTACTTTTGCTCACTGGCATTCATTTACATGATTCTGAAGAATATGCGGCGTGGCAGATTTTTGCAAGTGTTTGGAACTTTGAACTCCGCCGTGTGAAGAAATACTATGTGCAGATACTTCACCATTGTGAACCTATAAGAGTCCTTGAGGAACGATTGTGTCAGCAGCCTTGCCCATTTGACTCTGCAATTCGCCTCGACGTGCATCGATACTTGGAATCAAAGAGCTTGTCACCAATAAGATAGCTACATTGATGATGCATAAGACCCGTTGGGGCAAGGAACGCTTCCACAAGAGGCTCTCTTCAAGGAAGTGGATGGACAGGGACAACGCATGCTTTTCAGGCCAAGCCTTGACCAGCATCAAGCACGGCTTAGCATGCTGATCTTCATTTGTTTCGTTGGCTTGCAGTAATGTTAAAGCACCTCTTGGCAGAGGAAGGATGTTTGCTAGAGCTGTAGCAATCCTGCCCCAGATTTGAATGCCTAGTTGTTGGCTGGGCATGGGAGGCATGTATGGGTCAAACGTCAAGGTCCTATATTACGTGTTCTACAGTATCTACCTATATTAGATATATACATATACATTATATAATATATATATATATATTATAGTTTAATATAGCTTTCGGCCCAGCCATGCAAAAACATTGAAAGGCTTTTGCGAAGCCTTGCAATACGCCTGAGCGAAATTGGCTATTGTCAGAGTTTGCGGCAGCCTCAGTTACAGTAAGTTTCCCTAAATCTAGGAACCAAATGATTAGTGCGAGTGTGAGCTATCCTGCTTCCATACTAGTAGCTTACTCCCTACTTAAGTAAGTAGGCGCCTACTTAATTAAGTAGGAGCGGGCTAAGAAAAAGGCTTCTGTCAGTTTGATGGAAATCCTTTGGTTCAAACATAGCGTGACTCCTCACAATGGCAGGAACTTTGTGATCGCTACCATGATGCTTTGTTAGCATTTAGTTCAATGATGTTTGAAGACTTTCACACTTTGACTAGTTGGAGGTGTTAGGGCCAGGAAGGCTCATTGTAATATCATTGTCATGTCCACTTTCTCAAGCGTAACCCCAACTGCAAAGGTTCGATCGGTTCGCAGCTCGGATGCACAGATGCACAGCCTAGGATACTCGTGTTCCCAGAGGATGAACTTTCTGCATTCAATTGTGCCCTAGCCTTGCTTCTGCGGCATGCTTTGGTAGACTTGTACAGGCCGGAACCCAGAGCGCTTTAGGGTTGGGCCTGACGACACAACACATTCGCCCAGCAAACAGTCAAACTGAGGGAAGTCAACACAAACATGGTCTTTCGACTTGCCGCAGGCCAAAGTTCCAGAAGCTGGAAGTTGTACTCTGGCAGTTTGATCGTCTGGTTGAGGGATTTCTGCCAAAGATTCATGCAGCCCTCACAAGGCGCGAACCAGGAGAACTCCACTTTGCTGGGTGAACTTCCTGCCTAATGTCCAGACTTTCCCCTCTGAAGTCCCTCCTTTTCATGTTTTGAGCCAAATTGCCTCCCCCTCATGCAACTGAACATTGTCAACATTTGATATGTTTGATGTCTCACAACAAGACAATGATAACGAATCGGCAATTACTGTTGGACTGATTGCGCGCTGCGAGGGAATTGTTTGGTTACCATTTCTTTGGCAAATTTCTTGCAAGTGTTTGGCCAATCCAGTCTCCACATTGCTGTTCTAATGCTCGCAAGCAAGCGCAGCCACAGACGGAACAAGCAGGCCTGCTGGGCAGCCAACCAGCAAGCAAGGTAAAGCAAGGCAAAGTTAGAGGTGCCACAAGCTAAAGCTAGCAGGATTCCCACACCTCCTTGACATTATATTCTTAATTTTTGTCAATGTCACAGACAATAGAAACATGTCAAAGGTGATCTTGAGCTGAAGGCCACGTTTCTGTGGTGTTTGTTCTTTTTTCCCGCGCACACACACACAGAGACGCACATATTCAGCCGGCCGGTGAGATCTGCAAACAGACTAAGCCCGCTGCAGACGACCTAAGTTTCCCTAAGCATCTAGGAACCAAATCTTTAGTGCGAGCGCTTCTTCGAAGAAGCGTGAGCTATCCTGCGTCCATATGTAGAAGCTCACTTAGTACTCGTAGCTTACTTCTTCCTTAGAGGGGGGAGTTACGTATTTCATAAGCAACTAAACTTTCATTACTTTTGAACGGGCTAAAATAGGAATACTCGTCCTTAGTCCACTGCTCCCTGAGACACGGCGTCAGCTCGGAATACTACGCCATCCAGTGGTTCTTAACGCTCTATGCCAGCGACCTGCCACAGCACATGGTGCGGCGGATCTGGGACCGCTTTCTGGTCGCTGGGTGGCGAGTCATTGCTCAAGTAGGGCTGGTCCTGCTCTATCGAATCCAAGATATCTTGCAGGATATGGCACCTTGGCTTTTAAAGCGACCCTTTCTGCCACGGTGAGCAAGTTGGATCCAAAAGAGCTACACAGCTACATTGGTACAAAACTTGTCCCTCTCAAGGTGCTGGTGGATGTCAAGCCGTCAAAAGTTACAAACACATGGGTCATCTCGACTGTTGGGGCTTGTAAGGACACATGTCAAGCACTGGTTTTTCTGAAGAGGTGGGCAGTTTGAGCTTGTGCTGCTATGGTGATACGCTATGAGATCACTTCCAACATGCTAAGTGTTGTTTCATCTTGTACATGACATATGTTGCCATTTTGTTGCCTCTCTGGTCAGGTTCACACGAAATGCCAAATTCACTGCAGATGAGCTACTTGACACAGCAGCCACTTTTAAGGCCGGGCCTTAGTCCTTCGTTCTCCTGGAGATGCAATGCGCTGCATGTCAAGTGCGTGATCGTTTTCAATTGAAGTGGCCATGGCTTCCCACGCTGCAAGGTATCGCATCGAATGCTCTCCGCCCTTGAAGCTGCATATGCCTGGAATGAGCCATCACAGCTGACTGTCATCAAAGACCTGAACAGTGGTGGCCGGGCAGACAACCTTGGAGATCCGACTTTGATCATGCATTGTGATACACTCCGAGGGGAGCTTTGCTCGGACAAACATGACAATTTGATACAATTTGCTTTGCCTCGACCACTTAGGGCAAGTGCACTGGACGGTACAAGCAGCTAGCTTCGAGGAAACCGACGAGCATGAGGTATGTTCCTCAGGTTGCATGAGTGTCATGGGCCGCGCTCCACAAATTGGAGAATCAATGAGAAAAAGAACACTGAAAAACAGACAAACAAACAAGAGATAAAAGAGCATAACACAACATAAAATAACTATCCAATCAATGATGGTTATTTTTGGCCCACCTTCCTGCTTCAGTGTGCAAATATGTATCTATACAATTGTCCTTTTTGTACAAAAGCTGATGTATCATGTCCCATCCATGTTTCTGTCTGTGAATTGAAGCGTCTTAACATGACTTCACCTGTGGCCAATCACGGCCAATCAACAGCACTGAAAGATACTGAAAGCCTGGACTAAAGCTCCTAGTAGCTTCTTGTTCCCAGTAGTAAGGTCAGGAGCCCCTAGTAGCGTCCTTGCTCCTAGTAGCGATGCCCTTTGCTCCTAGTAGCGTCCTTTACCCCGCTTGTTGACTTGAGCGGCACCTTCTGAGGAAGCATCGAGGTTCCCCCGAGCTGGTACGAAATCGCTCCAAGGTGCCTCTTGTGACAACATGTTGGTGAAACAATTCGTTGGTACTGTCTAATCAATATATAGTTACAGTATGTTACAGTTGGTTCTTTGGGCATGACTTTCTTGATTTCCTGAGGTGGACGACGCTTGCAGGGCAAAGTCCTGCCGTTCTTGCTCCACAATCTGGACACTGGTGAGACTACAATGATGGAGAAGGCAGGGCACAAGGGCTTGAGCCGCGAATCTTGGATTGCACATTTTGACAGGCTTTCTCCCAGTACAAGGGTGAGATGCACCAGCAAGCCCGCGCAAAAGCGGGTCCTGTACAGGCGCAGTGGCACTGCGCAGTCTTGAATTATGTGAAGAATGAACGGGTGCTGAGCAGTGCCGACTCACCAAGCATGACGAAACAATACAGACCATCTTGTTTTGTGCTCGCATTTGGAATTAGTGATTTTTATTCATTTTGCGCATTTTGTAGACTTGGTTCAGGCTGGGCCTTCATCTGCAGAGATGCCGGGTGTGAGTGCCGAATTGGAGACCCCAGCAGGTAGCTTCTGGATGCAGTGCCTTGTCGGCATTGACCCTAACTAGATTCAGTCCCTGATTCTTCAAGCTGCGGTAGCTTGCTTCTTTTTTGACTCTTTTACCAGCTCTTTTTGCTTACTTTTGCTGGATATGATGCACTTGTTCCTTTCTTGTGCTACTACTTACAAGTTGGTAGTTACTTACAAGTTACTATGAACCCAAGGACTGTTCAACGTCAAGCGGAAAGAAGACTTTCGCAGACGTAGCATCTTGCCAGACGTCTGGCACCAACGATCGTTCAGTTTCCTCTCAAGTACCACGGTCCTGTACTCACCATGTAGGGTCTTCGATTCTTGTACACTCACTTTGTGGTCTCAAGTCTTCGTTTTCAACTGCTCAGCTTTGCCCTGCTTTGCTCCGCAACACTTTTGACTTTTGACAAGGCTAAGTGCTCAGCAGAGTAAATGATGCAGCTCCGGTGAAACCAAGTGGGGCATTTCGGCTAGGATCTGATGCCAAGATCCAGAAAAACGCCTTTGTTGCACCAAGCCGGGCTGCCTTGAGAATTCCCAACAGTTCGACTTTTTCGCTGATAATTAAGCCATGATGTCGACAAAAACCACTTTCAGGACAGGTTTCAATAAAGTGCATCTACTGATTTTGTGCAGCGCAGCCACCAACGTAATCCTTTTGCCTGTTCACCTTTGAGCTGGTTTTAGTTGTTGTAGTGCAAGTACATTGAAGTAATTAGTTAGTTGTGAAGGGCAATCAACTTGCATTTCTGGCTCATCAGCTCAGCAAATGTAGAGTACCTGCTTTTTCCGATCGTTTACTGAGTGACATGTCTGAAGATGCACCACCGGCTCCTAGCCGATCACCAGCGTCTGTGGGTGCAACCGCTGTCACCTCGCAGGCGAATCTGAGAGCCTTTCTTGAGAAGCTGGCTAGACGACGTAAACGAATCTCCTGTTCTGCCAAGTGTCGGCAAACCATTGAGGACACTTTGAGAAAGCTTGGTGGAAAACAATTGGCTGATACAGGACGCATCGGTTTGCATGATTTGAAAGAGATCCTGCGAGAGCCTCCTAAAGCTGTGCCTGCACAAACCCTCCGGGAATTTGTGGATGTATCGACAGCCTATGATGTTGGAGATGGAACCGTGGACCTGCAAGAATTGATGAGCTTTGCTTTCCAAACTGAACCGGGAATGTTGGAACGCATGGGCTGGTTTCTGCCTTTGTCGCTGCTTTTGGTTTGGATGCTCTTGGGCCCAGCAATCTTCTGCCCAGTGGAGCAGTGGTCCTACCTCGATGGGCTTTACCTTTCTGTGTTGAGCCTATCAACAGTCGGGACAGGGACAAACAGTGGTCTGTCCGCGCAGGTGTATCCCACATCTCAAGGGGCTCAGATTTTTCTCCTTGTGTTTGTCCTGGTGGGAACAGTGCTCACCATTTGGTTTTTGCTCGCGTTGTCACAGACACTTCTTTGGTCTCACGAGTTGAAGCTTTTAGCCTTCATCAACCCAAGGGACACCCCGGATTTGTTGGCACAGGATGGTCATGGAGCAACGAAAGGCGGTCTGCCCTTGGAGAATTTGGTCGGGGACCATCCAGCAGTCCTTCCCAAACAGCAAGCATCAGGTAGGGATCATGTGGACGTTGAGGGAGGGCCCCTCAAGGAGGAAGCGGAAAAGCCCAAGTCAATTCTTCAGATTCACAAGGAAAGTTTGAGGCAATGGGCAAAGCCGCGTGCCAAGATGCTGGAGGCCGGATGCTTTTGGAGCAGCATCATATTTGAAAGTATTTTCACACTAGCTGCCGGAGTCGTAATTGCACTTGTAACCTCCACAAGTGCATCGTTTCTGGATGCTTGCAGCTGGGCTGTCCTGACCAGCTTGACTGTTGGCTACATGCAGAGCCCGCTTGGAGATAAAGTTAACCAAAATGTGGCTCGAGGTTTGGAAGTTGCCTACGTATTGTGTTCCGTCTTCTGCATCTTGCATATCATGTTCAGGATTGGAAGAAGGAACCTTGGAAAGCAAAGGGCAGACTTCGAGCTGCGCATGAAAGAACGCATTTTGCCAGCCGACCTTTTGGTTGACTTGGACAAGAATGGCCTTGGAGTAAATCGTCTGGAATTCCTTTGCGCAGCTTTGATGACGTCAGACCGTGTGTCTGGACACGACTTGTCGCTGGCTCTTGAGATGTTTCAGAAACTTGACCCGAATGGCACCGGCGTCCTTGGCCATCCTCAACTTGAAGCATTCCAACGCGTCAAAGCTCCATTGAGCCTTTCCGAACTGTTGGATTCTCCACAGCTGCATTCCCAACTGCAGGCTGGGTCAAAACCATGCCAGGTGCTTGTGAAGCAGTAAAATGTGAGTTTCAGCTTGTTTCACCTTCTTTCACCTTGTCGGTGTCAGACAATGCAATTTCCTGCCCGGAAGTCCATCCTGGATGAGAGGCCGGGTACTCCAACTTCCCACAGGGAGGGAAACAGAGAGAGAGAGAGAGAGAACGAGAGAGAGAGAGAGATACTTGGTTCATGATCTGGTTCTTTGGAGGACCAGTGCAGTGCTTCAGGAAGTGTACCAGGACGGAGCCAACATAAACGGAGGTACAAAATTGGCACGCGCCGAAACAGGTCTAGGAAGGATTGGGGAACGTGTTTCAATCCGGATGGCCAGCTGTGGTCCCAAGCTTCTAGTCTAGTCCTTTTGTTCTTGGGCTTTGCCCCCTCCAATTCTTTGAAGCAGCTGGTATCCAAACAAGTTGGAATCAAGACTTGTAGGAAATAATCCAGAAACCTAAAGCAAATCCAGGTCACAGGATTCAGATTCCTAGACAGGCTTCCAAAGTTTTTGGTTTGGTTTTGCTGAATCTTTCAAGCACATGTTCTTCACCATTCCGGCAGGATTATGATGCTGTTCGTCGAAGCCTAGATGCCGAAACCACAGACATAGTCAGAGAACTGTATACAGGTGTTAGACCAAACTCTGCAGACCTTGGAATCATTGGAATTTCATACTTTTTCATTTGCATTGGATTTTAGGGCACCTTAGGCAGTGCAGGATTCTGGGCCATAGATTTCGCTTCAATGCTTATCGGATGCAGCCGTCGTGGTTCCTGTCAAGGCAAAAGATGAAGAACTCCTTGAAGCACTCAGGGAGCACAGCGCCAGTGAGCAGGCAAGATTCTCATAGAATATGAATGATGTGAATGTATATATTACTTTTTAGGAGCAAGTACGCTACTACGGGTTCCTGGCCTTACTACTAGGAACAAGGATGCTACTAGGAGCAAAGGGCATCGCTACTAGTAACAAAAGGCATCGCTACTAGGTGCTTTTTTACATGTTCTTTACGCTACTAGGTGATCAGTAATTATTCGGGTCGCTTCCCGACGACAACCGCCAGCACTATTGGCTCTTGGGCGTCCAGTTTCTTGCGGGTCCCAATCACTCCACTGCAACTTTCGACCCCTTTGAAGTTGTACGGTATTGTATAGCTTGTTGTATACAATCACACTATTTTTAGACCCTTGAACGTGTACCTCTTTTTTACAATGCATGCAAATTGCAAGTAAGACATGATTAAACAATGGTCAAAAAATAGAGTGATTGTAAAGACTTCTTCAATTGTTTCATCCACTGCATGCTGCGTTCATCTCCAAGTCTTGTCTTGACCATGTGCATTATTATAGCCTCTTCTTCGACTCCCTTGAAATTGTACATGCTTTCAGGTGGTCCAAATGATATCCCAACTGCAGGCATTGTTGGATATGTTTTAGGCCCCTGAAGAATGCGCAACTTCAAGGAGGTCGAACAATATATCCAGCAATGCGTGCAAATTGCAAGTAAGACACAACAAAACACTTGTACTGTAAGAGGGTCTCAAATAGAGTGGTTAAAAAGGCTTCTTTGATTTTACTCATCCACTGTATGCTGCGTTCATCGATCACGCACATGGTATAGCTTATTGTACACAATTGTGCTGTTTTTCGACCACCTTTAAATTGTATATTTTCAGGGGTCCAAAATATAGCAATTTGTACGGCATCGTCGGATACTTTATAATTTGGTCCTTTTGAAGCATGTAAAGTTTCCAGCGGATTGAACATAGGCTGAACACGTACAATAAACCATACAATTGTAACCAGCTGGTGCATATATGATGCAATGATGAAACATATATTAAAACATAGACTGTTGAGAGGAGTCGTTTGTTTGCCTTTCATGGACCTGGTGATGCAAATGATATGATGGGAGATATAGTCAGACATAGATGACATGTGAAAACCATGTTGTTTTTTTCAATGTTTTCTCCCACCCCACTCCTCTCCCAGACACACATCATGATGCAGGATATAGGTTTACTTTCCCAAACGAAAAAGCACCAACCCCCAGCTAAAACTATATTTATAGCGAGAAGGAAGATGGAAACAACTTGCACACTTGAAAAAAATCCAAAAACACATTCCAACACACATCCACTAAGGATGTCGAATCAACCACACGGGTTGATATGGATGTCACAAAACCCTGGATACCATCTGCAGTCTCTACCCTTAAACACCGCCGGTGCAAAGCGGTTCCTCGAAGAGGAACTATTCCTGCTATGTTCTGCACAACAATCACGCGAGGCTCATCCGCTAAGGGTGACCGGCACACCTGATTCCCTTACACCTTGATTCACTCACACCCACTAGGATGCTACGCATCCGTGGAGGATGGTGCAACAAACATCCATCCAGCTGTCTTACTTGACTCTCAGCTGTACGCACTCCGCACCCACTGAGGGTGGCAAAACTTCTGTACACACGCTCCAGAGAACCATGAGGAAATATGATTTCCACACTCGTCGCGACTTCAAACCTTTCTCAAACCTCTCAGATCCAATTGCCAAATTCTTACACTATATATGCCACACAGCATAAACTAACACTATATGAGCTACTTGCAAATTTGTAATTCCACCAATAACACGTTGCCTAGACGTCCAATCATGTTGTCAGGTCTTGCAGTACTAGAGAAAACAAAGTAAGGTAAGGCCCCTTTGATAAGGCCCCCTTTAGGGAGCCTTACTAAAGGGTGCCTTACCTTCTTTTCTACTCGTTTTTTCTTGAAGCCCGCCCGCACCAAAGGTGCTGAAGGGTGAGATTGTGTTGGGTCGCGCAATCAATGATGCAGCTTGTTTGAGGCTAGAGCACAAGCAGTTGCACAACGAGAAAGTTTGCGCAAGGAGGCCAGGTCAAATAGAAAAGGTTCCAGTGCCAATGTGTAAATCAATCACCTGGGTGATATTGTTTTCATTCGTCTGAACTTCAACATGTGCCTAGCTGCATTCTTGTGGGCATTTTCCGCAGGTGATGCTTCTATCACAGATGAAAACGGACTTGGCCCAAAGGTTAGACAAGGCACATTTGTGAGGGTACGGCACCCCCGGAAAAGCATCCATCAGAATGTTTGAGATTTGGGTACATAGCAGAGCAAAATCCTTGCAGCTGCAGGAAGGCCGGCAGAGCAAGGCAGCTCAGACTACTCTGGATGATATGAAAAGCAGGCGAGACTTCGATAAGGTGTGCAGCTTTCACAAAGTTTCCAAAGCCGAATCAATCAAGCCTGAACTTTTGTGCATCCCAGCCTAATGGCTATTTAGCGGCATACTGCTTAGCTACTAGTAAGCAAGCCAGCGCCTACCTAACCAGCCTCTCTTGTTGGCCGGCCTTCATGGCCTAACCCTCACCCCCTTCGGTAAGAAAGGGTTTTGTAATGGTTGTCAGGAACCGTTTGCTTGAGCAGAAGCTGCGAGACTTGCAGTTGCAGCATGAGGAGGCGCTTCCAAAGAGACTTCCAGAGTCCAACCCTTTTGTGCGCTTGGCCTCCAGCCGCATCCTAGCATCCTAGCTGCTAGGTCAACAAGCGCTTGACGAGTACAACTCGGCAACTAAAAGACGTGCCGTCTGAACACGTGTTGCTTTCGCCGGAATAAATATTCCCCTTCTTTGCACATACACTTTGCACTCATACTTCATAGGTACAGGAGCTCAGCCATGAATACCAACGTCGTATTCAGGAGCTGCAATTTGATCAAAGACCCGGAATAAGTTTGAATTGAGGCTTGAACATATCGAACCTCTTGTTTGATGTGGTGAAGTATCCTGAGGAGATAGAGCACGACATTCATGACTTTCCGCGACGGCTGCAGGCTTCATGGGCCCTCTGAAATTTGACAGAAAGAGCTTCAAAGAGTGTTAAAGTAGAAAGATAATGACAGACTGATGCCTGCAATGCAAACCTTTGGCATCCCCCAGTACTCTTGGAAGTCCTTCTACAACTGAGACATCTATCCAGGAGCAAGCTGATCGTTTGCAACATGAAGCAGACACAAGGGTTCATCAGGCTTGGCAAGTCTGCAATCAACCATTGCTAGCCAGATCCGGCAGTTGCTTTTGTTTGCATACGTACTAAGAAAGGCGCCAAAGTTACCCAAGCAAGTATGCTTTAAACGAATTCGTTAGTTTCAACGGTGGTTGGGCGAAGGTTCGTTTGGAAGCTGCCGAGCAGAACTTGGAAAGACAGGCGCGGCCAAGCGGCCCAATGTGATCTTTGCTACATGATGACTGCAACATGATGACTGTCCAGGTACTTTTAAGCCTTGACAGATGAACGAACATGTTTTTTTGAGTTTTCAAACATATATGTGAATATATGTGTTTGATTTCACAGGGTGAGATGCAAAGCGCCCAATTGGAGCTGAAGGCCACACTGGGCTGAGTGAGGCTTTCTAGAGTTTAACTTACAACAGTTCATCGCCTTGATTCGGAGGCCTTGTCATCATCCATGGAAGCGATGCGTGGGCAACTCAAGCAGTCGTGGTGGCCCTGGACAAGCGACGAGGTTGTTCCTAGTAGTGTCCTTGCTCCAGTAGTATGGCCAGGAGTGCCCCTAGTAGTGTCCTTGCTCCAGTAGTATGGCCAGGAGTGCCCCTAGTAGCGTCCTTGCTAGTAGTAT